ACTGTAAAGTTTATCGTCTGTTTCAAAGACTTATAAAACAGATATATCTACAACACTACCAGAATCATTAACTGCTTCAAATAAGAATCCTTAAAACAGACGATAAACTTTACAGTCCCATACAGAGACTTACAGACAGATCTATCTACAACAATACCAGAATTATTGACTACTCCAACAGACGATAAACTTTACAGTGTACGAGAATCCCATACAGAGACTTACAGACAGATCTATCTACAACACTACCAGAATCATTTACTACCTTATTCTCATGTACTCTTGCGGTAGTTAAAAAGAAATACGGAGTTATAAACATACACTGCTAAGAACGTTAGAGTTAAAACATACAGTTAAATAAAAAACATGGCAAATATAGAGTTAAAACATACTTGGCTACGAACGTTAGAATTAAAACAGGATAAAATAAAAACGTAGAAAATACATAATTAAAAACACATTCAATTTGTTTTGTTTCTTCGCAAAGCTGCAGAATGGGCTAAGTTCAGTGTTCCTACCGTAGGTATAAAACCCTGAATTTTAGAGTAGGGTTACATGGATGGTATTCAGTGACTTGCTATGGTGTCAATGATCTTAAGTTATATATATATATATATTTATAAGTAGTGTTACGAATAGTATTGTGTTAAGTTTATATATATAAGTAGTGTTACGAATAGTATTGTGTTTGTTCTATTAAAACCGGCTTGTTAAATTCTGAATTGTGAGATACTTATCGTTTTCAACATGTCGGACGTAGTGTGGTTAAAATACTATTACACAGTCTTTTTCTTGAAATATCCCAACAGATATCATATAAACATAACATCATATACATATATAATTGAAACAAATTTGTTCTTTCAAACCACGAATCATAGTTTGATGGAAAAATGCGAGTCAAGATATTTTTCCTTTTCTCACCCATATCCGGTGTTCATTCTCACGATAAAAACTCCACCTGTTATGCTTTATACCGGAGTAGGGAGTAAAGGTCAACTAAAATTCAGCTTTAAATATTGTGGCAACGAGGGAAACAGCCACACATTTTTCCTAACGTTTCGGATCATCATACCTGGAAAGATGAACCTGTTGCTATCAGTTTTTACTGTGGTTGTGGTGGTGGCTTCTGCGGGTAAGTATCTCTTATGATAACTTCTCTTAGTTACTCTTATGATAACTTCATCGTTATGTATAGTAACCTACTACACGGTTCATCGTTATGTATAGTGACGTAATACACGGTTCATCGTTATGTATAGTGACGTACTACACGGTTCATCGTTATGTATAGTAACGTACTACACGGTTCATCGTTATGTATAGTAACGTACTACACGGTTCATCGTTATGTATAGTAACGTACTACATGGTTCAT